GAAATGGAAATACAGGGCATCCAGGGCGGATGATGCCTTCAGGACCAGTGGTGAGCGTGGTGATACTGGGAGCGTAGAGGGAGAGTGGGTTGGAAAGGGGGAACTGATTACAAGGATCTACATGTGACCTCCTCCCTGGGGGACAGACAACAGAAAAGTGGGTGAAGGGAGACGTCGGACAGGGCAAGATATGAGAAAATAATTTATAAATTATCAAGGGCTCATGAGAGAGGGGGGAGCGGGGAGGGAGGGGAAAAATGAGCTGATGCCAGGGGCTTAAGTGGAGAGCAAATGTTTTGAGAATGATGAGGGCAGTGAATGTACAAATGCACTTTACACAATTGATGTATGTATGGATTGTGATAAGAGTTGTATGAGCCCCTAATAAAAGGATTAAAAAAACACCCCCAAATACAAAGCAGACCCAGCTTGTCTACAGGAAGGCTTCAAAATAAGAACCTGGACCCATTCAGAGAACAGGGAGTTCAACAAGGCTGCTCTTGGAATGCATTCAAGGAGGGAGGGACAAAGGATATGGATACGGAAGCAGGAGTGAGTCATGTAAATCCGGTCTACTGACTCCAGATCTTATTTTAGGAAACATAACTTGAGAGATACAGTAGCGAGAGGAGACCTTTAGAAACATCCTTGGAGCCTTAGAATGGAGAAAGCTTCCGGCTTGGTCAGAGGAGAGGAGCCCCAATTTGAGACGGCTGGCTTCATGTTGAGTTGGGATGGTGAATATGGAAAGGGGATTGGGATCAAGAGCTACTTGATTGGTAGAATCCACCGTGGCCCCGTGACTGAGTAGTTGGGGGTGGGTGGGAGTCAATGCCATTTCCAGAGGGTGGTGGCATTGAAGCAGCATTTGGTTTGGTGGGCTGAGTTTCCTGGACACAGATTCAGGGTAATGTCGGAGGCTACACCTGCAAGGGTCTAAGGAAGGTAGAACCCACACAGGTGGAACAATGGAGGCCTCCCACATTGAGAGGGAGCCTGGAAGCTGGGATGGCCCTTCAGAGATGGCCCAAATCAAGGCCAATCGTTGGCTGCTCCCTGGGAGGGAACCCCGGCACTTCCCCATGTGGGACTTAGGGGTGAGTGTTTGGCAGGTAGGGGGTGGGTGGACACAACCTGAAGAGCATGTGTGGCCCAAACATGACGGTGTCCAACCATAATGACATATAGTCTTGTGCTTACCTGGGGACATACTTTGAGGTGTCTGTCGGCTCATTATTTATTCCGTACCAATCATTACCGATGGGATTCTGATTCATGGGGACCCCAGGTGTGTCAGAGAAGAGCTGTGCTCCAGAGTTTTCAATGGTTGATTTGTCGGAGGTGGCTGGCCAGGGTGTTCTTCCAAGGCACCTCTGGGTGGGCTCAAACCCCCCCCCTGAACTGTGAGTAATTGAATGTGTTAACCACAAACACCATCCATTCCTCAGTTGACAAACAACTAGTTAAGATCCACTATGTGATGTTCAAGGCTTTGGGCTAACTGGTGCGCATGGTGGGATGGGGGCCTTGGATCAGGCAGGAGGCAAAGATGGGGTCCCACATCTGCTCAAGCAGCCTGCGTGCTGCAGGAGACCTGTGGGGAGTCCTTGTCAGCTGGAACCAGTCTAGTCCACCCCTCACCTCCCCCCACTTCCTGTGTGTTCCCTCCCCAGGTTCCAGTGGGGTCTCACAGGATTAAGCCTGATTGCTTCCATTCTAACTTCCTCTCCTGCTTCCTCCTCCTCACAGGGGACTTAGAGAGTCAGTCGGAAACAGCCCAAATTCCTTTTAAGGAAGGTGGAACATATGTAGAAGTTCCACAGGGTTGGGCAACCTTACATTGAGCTCACAGGCCGGCCTCTTCACTCCGCAGCTTGTCAAACCTGCGGGAGAGAAGGCACAGACAGAATCAAGTCACCCTTCTCTTTCTTTGGGCAAGGCCTGCTTTCCAGAATTTAGGCTAAGAAACAACAAGGCAGGGGTGGGGGTGGGGGTGATAAAGGATTAGTGAGCCCATCTAAAGGCCTGCCTGGAGCAAGGGGGTCAATCATGTATTTAAGGGCCTCCAGGACAATGCTCAAGCCTGTACCCAGCCCAGCCAGGACCCAGAGTGAAAGGCCTTTGCCGCAGTCCCAGGGCTGCGCCTCAGGAGAGGGGAGGGGAGGGGTTTGGCCGGGAACCATTAACAAAGGGTGAGGGAATTCATTCTCCCACCTCCCCTCAGGCTAATCATATTTTAAATCTAGTTATGATTTCCCTCAAGGGTATATTATTTGAAATCACAATGAAAAGAAATAGAAAAATAATCTGGATCTTTGCAGTCTGATGATGGTGTTAAACAATAAAAGAAAAGATCGATTCTCTTTTTTTCTGCCCCTCCCTCTTGTTTTTGGCTGGCCACTCCTTAGCTAGAATGCTAGGGCAGAGCAGTGGAATCAGTCCATCGGAAACCAGTTGGCAGATCGAACAGAATGGGGAGAACAGTTTCTAAATCCCCAGGCCTAGCTTAAATGTGAACCTCAAATCCTTCCTTTGCTGGTGAGAAAGAAAGGGGTTCTTTTCTTTTTTTTCTTCCCCCTCCTGGGGGAACACACCTTTTGTGTACTTTGCCTAACAAAGGAATTTAACTATTTCACGATGGAATTTGGAGGGAAAGTATGACGTGTGGATTGCTAGCTAGCCACTTCAAACCACAAAAGAATTCACACCACCACCGCCCGAAAGCTGAGATTTTTGCAATACTTTAATGAGGGGGGGGGGGAAGAACCCCGAAGACAATGAGATTAGTAATTAAAAAAAAAATAGCAACAACAAAATCCTGAAGGATGTGGAATGCCTTTAGTTTCTGTTTGGCCTTAGAATCCTCTTACTTCTTTGTTCTGCCCTGCCTCTCTGGTGTAGTGCAGTTTTGCATAGCCGGTTGTTAATTGTGTCGTTGCCCCGAGCAGAAAGTAGCTACCTTCCATCTGCAGAAAAGTCATGGGTCTTTGTGTCAATTTTCGTTTTGATTTTAGAAGGGAGCCTCCTTTACTTAAAATCTAGGCTGAAAGCCGCCCTTTTCAGCTGTGAAACCCTGATTTCATGAAATGGAACAAGATGGATTTCCTGCCTCTCGCTGTGGGTCTAAGGGCCTACCTGGGAAAGCGGGCGCTGTGTGCCCCTCGTTTATTTTTTAAATGAAAAAGCAACCGGGGCAATTCGCAAGAAAGCATTATCCTTGTTTCTGGTGGTGAGAGCCCCTTGCCGAGCTCTATCTGTTGCCAGGCCAAGTGTGTCAGTGGCGTATTGTGCTTTGAAAACGATTTCCTCCAGCGAAAGCCCCACCAAAACTCGGGGCTTTGTACCCAGGGAGCTGCCACAAAGGGGGTTTGGCGTGAGGAAGCCACGAGGCAGCCCTGCAGCGAACGATCGTAGAAGCTACTCAGTCCACGGTTTGGGCCCTGTTACTCCCACAGCCATTCCAACGCTGCCGTTTTGCTCGCCTGCAACGCTTAAGGCAGGCGTGGGGGAGGGGAGGGCCAGAGTATTTAAAGTAAACAAAGATTCTAAATCCATGAAACCCAGGCTTTTCTCTGGTAGGCACATTAGGCAATTCCATATATAGCAATCCGTCTAGCTGCACCAAGCTTTGCAAATTAGCAGGTCCTGGTCTACTCTCCAGTGCATCGTTTTTTTTTTTCACATGCATATTAATAAAGGCCCACCTTTGGGCAGGCGGCAGGGGTGGGGGTGGGGCGGGGAAAACAAAAAAAGGGCTCCCTTTTGAAATGAAATCAAGTCCAGGTAAAAGTTGCAACTGCAACCCACAGAAGGCTGGCACCGTTTTCGGGCTTAGAAGCAGATGTAAGTTTCAATTTCATCATCTTGTAGCACTGATACGCGCGGGGCTGGGGCCAGTCTTCCTCAATGCGGGTAAATATGTATTTCAATATATGTGCAACGCCAACCAATCTGCTGTTCCGCGCGGGGCTGGGGCCAGTCTTCCTCAATGCGGGTAAATATGTATTTCAATATATGTGCAACGCCAACCAATCTGCTGTTCCCCACGAAAGACTAACAACTCTCCCATAAGACATTCAGGTCATTCACATGGAAAGGCTTAAATAGCAAAAATGCTACTTCCAATTTCATCATAGCGTGCCCCCAGATCGCAGAACAATGGCTCCGTCAATGGAAGTTCATGCCAGGGAGAGGCATACTGAGATTTAAAACACATAACAAAGCCACAACGGAACTTCTCAGGGCACGTTGCAAATAGGACGGAGTTAAATCTAATTTCAAATACAATACCCCCCCCCACCCCAAACGCTGGTGGGGTGTTGTCTTCATTGGGCCTCTGGGGACATGACTATCAGCAATCTGATCAAAAAGGAAGGAGCCTTTTTAACTGGGAGGGTGACTCCCCCTCACTCCCCCATTTCTTCAGATCCTTCCATTTTGCCCTCTTTCCAGTGTAAGCACAATGAAATGAGCTTGATGTGGCGTTTCTCCCTCTCGTAGACGTCTGTGAACAATTCAGGAAGCAGCGCACAGGGTTGGTGAAAACACCATTCTGTGCCTGCTCGGAATGGAAATCTTTAGCTTGTCTCCCTCTCCCCTGTGCGGCCATTGTACACCTTTGTGGCCTTTGGCTGGTTTCTATGGGTGTCTTTTGTGTTCTGGAGGTCTGGGACCACCTGCTGTAAGTGCTGTGCCTGCTGGTGGCACTTATCCACCATCTCCCCTTTGGAATGTAAAGACCTAGCTATTACATCTTGTTTACTCAGTATCCTTCCCCATGAAAACCCAAAACGAAACACACAACACAACCACACACATCCGCGCGCGCGCGCGCGCGCGCACATACACACACACAGGACCGAAAAACCTACATGAACTCAACATGCCATGTTTCAATCTAGCCCCAGTGGGGTTTTTTTTCTCTGCAAGCGAAACGTGTGTCTTTTACACCAGGGCTTTCTCCCCACCCCAGGGGGTGTCTGCCATTCTTTCGTGGCTCCGTTTCAGGCGAAAAGGGCTCCAAATCCCTAACTAACTCCTAGAGCCCCTTCTTGCACCTCCAGGGAGAAGTTCAGCTTTCAATGTATCCGAAGATAGCATCCTCTCTCCGTACTTATTCGCCACCATTGCGAGGATCACAAAACACCACGTTTGCTTCCAGATCCCGGGTGGAGGCTCACGGGCTTTTCAACCATCTTTTGGCGAGGCCTGGCTTCCTTCCACTCGAGTAAGTCGCGGCTGGGGACACCGGGAGGACCGGGGGCGCGCCTGCCCGGCGCGGGCAGCCAGAGCAGCGCTCCCTCCGTCCCCTGGCCCCCCAGCAGCCCGCGCCCCGGGGCGAGCTGCCCTGCAGAGCCCCGA